GGAAAAAAGAATCCACAGACAAGTTTTATATAAAAACCACAAACAAAAATGATTCATTGTTTCTTTTTTTTTTTTTTTTTGCGGTACATGGGCCTCTCACTGTTGTGGCCTCTCCCGTTGCGGAGCACAGGCTCCGGACGCGCAGGCTCAGAGGCCATGGCTCACGGACCTAACCGCTCCGCAGCATGTGGGATCTTCCTGGACCGGGGCACGAACCCGTGTCCCCCTGCATCGGCAGGTGTACTCTCAACCACTCTGCCACCAGGGAAGCCCTCATTGTTTCTTAACATATGGTTATTTCTACAAGTAAATGCATCTCTTTCTTGCACGCTGCTCTTTACTGGTATATACATTTTCCACTAATTACAAAGTCTTTTAGGAGGAAAATTTCTATGTAAAAACATGAATGTTATTGGCTTGAAATTTATAGACAGAGTTTTTTTAATGCAGTAGGATTAATGATTGTTCCGATATTCATTTCTATACACTGGCTTTTGTTTAAACCAAGAGCCTAAAAAGCACCTCTGGCAAATTTTTTTTAAATTACTGGCATAAATTTTATTAAAAATTGTTGTGCTTTAAAATTATATTGCTAAAGACAAACCACGTATGAAAATTTTTTCCATTAATACCTAGTCATTGCTGGTTCAATAAAACAGGATTATCATGTATTTTATTTTACATGTTATATATAACAGATACTTTTGATATGTATATTTTATGTATATATCTGTATGAATACACTAATCTGTGTATATTTTACATATATACTAAAATTAGGATTTTATACCCAACATTAGAAAGAAATCCTAATAATTTTGAGAATGTATACATAAATTCAGTAAATGTTCTCATTTAGCATAAAATGAACTAACTTTAAGGATTCCTATCGATGTAACTCTGAAGTGGTCAAGATTTTAAGCAGTCTCTGATGATCAGAGCTCAAAATTTACCAGTATACCAAATGACTTATTGTAACTTTTAACTGTAATATAACACTAAAAAATAGCATTTTTCTCCCTATGAAAGCATCAATACTGTAATCATTTATTCATAGAAACTAGCAACTACATTTTTCAAACTATTTTCTGGATTCCAAGTATTATTATAAAAACAAAAATCCACTGTGCCAGTTTTCTGGTTATACAGCAGCTTGGTGGAGTTTGGGGAAGGGTGGGGGGGTGTTTTTGATTGTCAACTTATTTTTGTTTGTTGGCTATTTTACGATTTGAAGATTATAAACGCAATACATATTGATTGCTAAAAATAAATTACCAGCGTAAGAGTAAAGGTAAAAAGTAAAAGTCCCCTTCCTATAAAACCCCAGATGGGCTTCCCTGGTGGCGCAGTGGTTGAGAGTCCGCCTGCCGATGCAGGCGGACACGGGTTCATGCCCCAGTCCGGGAAGATCCCACATGCAGCGGAGCGGCTGGGCCCGTGAGCCATGGCCGCTGAGCCTGCACGTCCGGAGCACCGCAAAGGGAGAGGCCACAACAGTGAGAGGCCCGCATACCGCAAAAAAAAAAAAAAAAAAAAACAACCCAGTTTACCTTTTCAGAGGTTGAATTCTATCATAGTTTCCTATGTGTCCATTAAAGATAAGTTTATACAAACCATGCTCACGCATACATCTAGTTTTTACATAAGATCATACTGTACAAACTGTAGTGTAATTTAAATATTTCATACTTAATATAAGTTGGACATGCTTGCATAGAAGTACATGTAGGTGTACATCCTTTTCAAATTAATTTATTTAAAACTGTTCCCTATTTAAGAATGTTTTGCATTTTGCTATTGCAAATGTTTTAAGTACATTTTTGTACAAATATTGCTACCTACTTAGGTGAGATATCTGTAAAGGAAGGTATCTGTAAGGTATGTTTCTAGAGATAAAATTTCTCTGTCAAAGAGAACTGCATTTAAAATTTTGCTAGATGGAGCCAAGCTAAGTTTCAAAACGTACCTCTAAACTGCTATCCCACCAAAGCTGGTTATTGTTGATATTGTTGTTGTTATTTATATTTTTTGTATAATTTTACTTGCCAAATGTGGTTTCATATCCCCTAAATTATTTATCTGTGAGTAACCTCCAATTTTCATGTTTTTAAATATATTAACCTGAAGAAGGCATCACAATGCAAGCTCTAGGAAGTAATTCTAACCAGCGTGGACTTTCCCATTCAACAGCAATAGTATCATGAGTCTGGAGACATTATGAGAGGGTATATAAGCTTTCTTCTACCTTTAGGCAAATTACACCTAACTATCCCCCACCGCCACATTCTTATTTAATTACAACTTCAAACAGAAATTTTATCAGGCAAACTGTTTACTGCATTTCCTTATATATTCATTCTATAGGAAAGTGAAAAGAATGTTCACACAATTCTAAACAATTGGTACACTTATAAACAAAGAAGTTAGCAGGCAAATGCCAGGAAAAGGACACCAACTTGAGGTTACTAACTTCAGTTCTAGCATTAGAAATTAATGTTACTAATAATAAGACATCTTTTTCTTGGTAACACTGTCAACAGAAGAGGTTAACTGATGTTCCAAACTTAATACAGGACACTGGGGATAAAGACTATGAAATCTGCAGAGTCAACTCTTATTTATATATGCCAAAGTAAAGGGGAATCATTGTTATTAATTCAGATCTGCATGTAACTTAATTTTTGTAAAGAGTGAAATTGTAAATATGCCTGGGGATATTTACAGAGTTTGGTTACGCTTAAAATTTGATCTTTCAGTGAAGTTATATTCACAAACTTTTACAAAATGTAACATAACTTTAAAAAATGAAACTTTAGCCTTTTTTTTTTGTGTGTGGTACACGGGCCTCTCACTGCTGTGTCCTCTCCCGTTGCGGAGCACAGGCTCCGGATGCGCAGGCTCAGCGGCCATGGCTCACGGGCCCAGCCGCTCCACGGCATGTGGGATCTTCCCGGACTGGGGCACGAACCCGTATCCCCTGCATTGGCAGGCGGACTCTCAACCACTGCACCACCAGGGAAGCCCTGAAACTTTAGCCTTTTAAATACTGCAATTTAGTGATTTCCAAGCTACTAATAATTCTGTGTTCCTTTTTAAATGACTATGTAAAGTAAGTTCCAGTGGTGATAACTTTCTAAAATAATATTAATTGAAACACCTCTAGAATTAAAAATCTAATCTATGGAGTTACTGATGTGAAATAATTAAATTTAAAAGCTACACAATAAAATTCAAAATTCTTCATCAAAATCAAAACCTGAGAAACTCTATCCTTTCACCCTACAGGAATTACTGTAAGATTTTCAGAACTGTAATTTAAAATATATTGTCTTTTATAACAAAGCTTAAAACCAATTAATGGCAAAGCTATGATTATATTATATATTATTTGTTCTACTTATGAATGTTTGTGTGGTATGAGATATTTTCTATAATAAAGGAAGCTTCAGTATGAAACTTTACAATTAACAAGGGTCACTCCCTGTCTTTAATATCCTCATAACCCAATGTCACCCAACTCAAGTGCCTGTGAATATGCTGGAACATACTAAAATTTCTACCCATCACATGCCCATTCACTTGGCCTTTGTATACATTTACATGCATATCACGATCTGTGATATAAAAGCAATGAGATGAATTTCAACAAGCCATGTAAGAAATCAATCATTTTATAGTCCCTTTCGTCTTCTCTCCTGATGCTTTTCTTTGCAGCCACTAATATCCAAATCTTGGCATTCAATTCCAATATTGTGATTTCAACTTTTTTTAAAATGTAGAATACAGGGAGGGTACAGAGAGGGTAACTTTCACATAGGAGCTCCTTGGTTTCAGGGAGACTGAGAGGAGGTTCAAAGGACCCTCTTGCATCTGCTATTCCTTAAGTAACTTTAATTCAAAATAATCAATATGCCACTGTGGAATATTTTGGGGTGGCCTGCCCAGGCCCCAGTAGTTCTAACTCAGGCTTCCAGACCCCAGAGCTTCTACTCTTAACCACTCTATATTGACTTCCTAGCGGTAGCTGATGCTTCAAAGATGCTTAATGTGGTACCGTGACCCATGATGACTGAGGTTCCCCAAAAGACTGGAAAACATTAGGGATGGACCAAATGCACACTTCCTATTCACATCAAACTAGGAAAAGTCCTATCTGCAAATTGTATCCTCGAAAGCAAGTATATATGTACCTCATTGTCATGGATGGCGCCCAGGGTTTTCTTCCATATGCTTTCAACAAACTACATTTTTCCTCTAGATAGATTTATATCTTCTTTTTTTATAAGCCTTGGCTTTCTTTTGATTAATACCAAAAGGTTTTCCCCATTATGGCCTGAAAACCTAAGTGCTTAAGAACTAAGCCATCATTTTCAGTAAAGCCACAAAAGAAACAAAAAAGGGCGCATTCATAGTTCTTAGATACGGAGATCCTTATCTAAAGACGGTCCTCAAGCCAATCAGAAGTCTCGTGTATGCAGAACTGCTAGGTTATCAATCACGTGGGAAAACTCGGGTAACTTGATACCAACAAATTGGCTTCAACGTTCCGGTACACGTACCTCTAAATCGTCAGAGACCAATTTAAAGATCTCAGGGGCCGCCTCCTGGGCTCCCAACAGGCAACTTGGAAGGTGTCCAGAGCTTGGAGAAGCAATGAAACTTGGTGGAAAATGGAGGCAGTGGGTGATGGGCATGCGTTTAATTTTTAAACTAGCAAAACTGGGGACTTCGCGGGCACCCTGTAAAGATTCCCGGCCCTGAAATTAATACCACTAATAATAGTCTGCCAGTTTTTTGTTTTGTTTTGTTTTTGATGGAACACGATAACTTTGCCTTATTTTATTAATAAACAGATACTTTAGTGGCATGTTTCACTTATGGGTATTTTGGTTCCTAGTATTTAAAATAGTCACAAATCCAATCATGGGGGGAAAAAATGCAATAAGGGGGCGACAGCGAACACGTATATGTATGAAGTATCGCTTAAAAGCATTTATTACCGTCGGTGTGTTGGGTGGTGACGGCCAAAGTGCGGCTGTGGTTAATCTACGTCGCAGGACCCTGAGCGGTTGGAGTCGCACTACGCCCGGACTCGTCAGTCGGATCACTGGGTACCTCACGCTCTAAAAATGGCGGCCGCGCCTCTTTCCACCAGAGAGCACTACCCCAGAGGAACGTCACGTCACCAGGGCAACGACGCTCTTGCGTAAGGGCGCGACACGGGTGAAAGTTCAGGGCTGACGCTGTGAACCCTGACGCTGCGAACCCTGGCGCCGCGTCTGGGCCCAAGGCGAGGCTGGAACCCAAGCGACTCCCAAGGTTTTCGGCCAGGCGAGCGTTGGCCCGGGCCTGGGAGCGGATGAAGCGCGCCTCTCCCTCCACTCGGCCTCGCCTGGCGGGCCGGAGGCTGGACGCCCAGACGCGACCTCAGGCTGAGGGGCGGGGCGAGCCGAGCGCCCGGCCCTCCCCAGAGCACGCGAGCTCCGTTCCGCGGCGGGTGGCGCTCGCTGGAGTTGACGTTAGCCATGGAAACGGGGAGCGGGTCGAGACGTCACCGCGGTAAGCTGGTTGCCCCGGCCGCCACAGCTCTTCTGCCTCCGCGTTCGGACCGCAGGCAGCCTCCCGGCGGGAGCGCCCTATACGGGTTTACCTGCAAAAACGCAGTCCCCGGGATGCCTTCGCATCGCCTCTTCCTTCAGGTGACTCGAGGTACGTTAGATCCCCGACACCCACCTGGGAACTTCTTGGTAGCCTTAATTTCCAAGGCTGTGCAGAGTGATTATTGCACTTTTTAAGACGTGAGATGAGCTCAGTCGCTAGAGGCATCAATCTGGTGTGATTTTAATTTTCTTTCGTAAGGCAGCGTTAGCCCGTTGAGTTTTAGCATTTTGTTTCTAAGAGACACTTGCGAAATGGAAAATGGCCCTTTCAGTTTTAGTTTAGGGATGGCTTTGTTATCCCAATAAAGTTTACACACTATGCCCCTTACTACTGTGTTCATTCTCTCTTTTATCTCCCCTTTTGCCCCATAGTGGTCAAATCATGGACCCCTGAACAGGAACAACTCTTTCCCCACTGATCTGCATCCTCTCTCCACAGCCCGCTGTTTATCAAGGGCCAACATTTACTTCAATGAAGTCTACTCCATCAGAAGTCACTTATCAGGCCTCTGAATTGATTTTCTCTCTTATTCAGCTGTATAATATTAGGTGGATTTTTCCTTTGTTAGCTCATTCTTGCATTTAGGGCAAAGACCATCCTTTATATTATTGAGTGTCTACTACCACCTATGCCAAATTTCCAAACCGTTATCATAGCATCCAAAGCCAGTTCACACGTTGCCATTTTAGTAATTCAACTGTTTGGGCACCTGACCATTGCTTTAAAATCTCCTACTTAAAGAGATGCCTGCTAGTTATTAACCACCACAGAAAATACCACGTTGGGGATTTTTTCTGTTTCTTTTTCTTCTGTAAGAACTTTATTGAGATAAAAATTCACTTTCCATACAATTCAATTTTAAAACATGTTCATCACTCCCAAAAGAAACACTGTACCCTTTAGCAGTCACTCTCCCTGCCCCCAGTCCTCACTATATCCACCAGCCCAGGCATACCCTAATCTGTTTTCTGTCTTTATAGATTTGCTGGTCCTGGACAATTCATATAAATTGAATTATACAATATGTAGCCTTTTGTGATTGGCTTCTTCCACTTAGCATTCTGTTTTCAGGGTTCATTTATGTTGTGGCATGCATCAGTAATTCAATGTCATTTATAGTCTATTACTATTCTATTGTATGGATATATTACATTTTATTTCATCTGTTGATGGCCGTTTATGTTGTTTCCATTTTTTGGCTATTAATAATATTTCTGCTATGAATGTTCATGTACAAATTTTTTTGTAGACTTATGTTTTCATTTCTCTTGGGTAAATACCTAGGAATGAAATTGTTAGGTCATAGGGTAACTCTATGTTTAGCCTTTTGAGGAACTGCTAGACTGTTTCCAAAGCAGCTGCAGTATTTTACATTATCACTTGAGGGTTCTGATTTCTCCATAAACTCGGCAGTACTTGTTATTGTCCGTCTTTCTGGTGGCCAGTCAAGTGGATTTGAAGTGATATCTCATTGTGGTTTTGGTTTGCATTTCCCCAATGAGTAATGTTGTTGAGCATCATTTTGTGTGCTTATACTGGCCATTGGTATATTATCTTTGGAGAAATTCAGATCCTTTGCCCATTTTTAAATTATTTGTTTTTTCATTATTAAGTTGTAAGAGTAATGTTGTTGAGCATCATTTTGTGTGCTTATACTGGCCATTGGTATATTATCTTTGGAGAAATTCAGATCCTTTGCCCATTTTTAAATTATTTGTTTTTTCATTATTAAGTTGTAAGAGATTTTTCTGTATTCTAGATATAAGTCCCTTAACATATATATTTTTTGCAATGATTTTCTCCCATTCTGTGAGTTGTTTTCACTTTCTTCATGGTGAGAACCTTTTCTTTTAGACACTTTCCTCACTTGTGTTTGTTTATGTCTTATCAAGCAGTCCTACCTGCCATGGCCGCGCTGGCTTAGCTAACAAAAGCTTCCTATTTTGACATTTGTAGATTTCTCTTAGGTCCACCTTCCTCGGAAAACCCATTTTCCAAACTTGTCCTTCTATTTCTTAATTCATAAAAGAAACTTTCCTTTCATATGTCAGTAGCTTGGTGTGATTGAAAAACTCTGTATTCTTCCAGCTGACATGATGTGTTGGTTCAGTCACTTAATATCACAGGTTCTCAATTTTACTTTCTGTAAAATATATTGATTTATTTCTGGTAATTCATGTGAGTGGTAGATTTCATTTGCCTGATACTTGATTTTGAAGGAAGAGCTTATTAATCCATTTGAATTTATAATGGCTAAGATGTGTGAGCTGTGGGAAGGGTAGATTGGGATAGGAGCAGAAGTATTACTGGCAGTGCTGCACATTTATGATGCTCTGATGTGACCTTTGGCTATTTCCTACCATCTTAGTTTTCTGTAAGTAATGGAATGCTATCAGTTCATGTTCTAGTGTTGTACATTTGGGAAGTGTGAATCATAGAACCAACAACTCATCATTCCACCTGGGAAGCATTGCCAATACATAATCTGCAATAAATAGATCCTTTGAGCTATCTAATCACCCCTCCCATCCAGTCAGAGTTTTCCCTACATACCAATTCCTGTGAATTTACAGAAAACTCTTAAATTGAAAGACCGTTCAAAATCTGGAATTTAAAAAATTACCATTTTGTATAGCCAAAGAGATGTTAACGTCCTTGTTCTTTTTAGGCACTTGGGTAGATTTTCCTTTTACTGGTAAGGGAGGAGTGTGCTTACTATATAATCGATAAACTAAAACATGAAATGTATTTTTCATCTTTAAGCACCAAATGTCTTTCAAAAGACTCTTCAAGAATCTAGCTGTTAATCCATGGCATAGCATTTGGTTCAGATTCCATAGAGTATTTTCATAATTACAGGGGTAACTATCTTTGCATCTGTAGATTCCTATTAGTACCCTCAACAGTTAGTACTTGGCTATCTAAAAAGTACATATATGTGTTCTGGTGATGACAGATGATTTCTATCCAGAGTAACTGAGAATTAAGTTGTTTCATATCTTGCCAGATTTAGTAAAATTTGACAAGTATATTAAAACATAATAAGTTTCCTGAAAGTACAACAAAACTATAGTTGAGGTACAGTGCAGAAGTGCTCAGTAAATATGTGTGGATTCAATATCACCTCACACCTGTTAGGATAGCTGTTATAAAAAAACAAAAGATAACAAGTGTTGGGGAGGATGTGGAGAAATTGGAAGCTTCCTACTGTTGGTGGGAATACAAAATGGTACATCACACAGAAGTAGCACAGTGCTACTGAAAACAGTATGGGGAATCCTCGAAAAATTAAAAATAGAACTGCCATGTGATCCAGCAATTCTGCTTCTGGGTATTTATCCAAAAGAATTGAAAGCAAGGTCTTTCAACATATTTGCACTTTCATGTTTACTGAAGCATTATTCATAATAGCCAAAAAGTGGAAGCAAACCAAGTGTCCATCAGCTGATGAATGGATAAAGAAAATGTAGTGTATACATAAAATGGAATATTAGTAAGCCCTGAAAAGGAAAGAAATCCTGCCATATGTGACAACATGGATGAGCCTAAGACATGGTAAATGAAATAAGACAATCATAGAAGGACAAATACTGCATGATTCCACTTACATGAGGTATCTAAAATCATCCAAGTCCTAGAAACAGGGAGTAGAATGATGTGCCAGGCACTTGGGGGAGGAATAAATGGAGAGTTGATGTTTAACAAGTTTTAGTTATACAAGATAAATAAGTTCTAGAGATCTACTGTACAACATTGTGTTGCTAGTTAACAATACTGTATTGTACATTTGAAAATTTAAGAGGGTAGATCATATGTTAAGTGTCCTTGCCATAAAAAAAAAATCTAACGTAACAGAACAGAAAATAAATGTGTGGATTCAATGAATGAAATCAACCAACAATAAAAAAAATATGCTAGATTAAAAAAAAAAAAAGCAACCTTTGCTAACCAAAATCAGGCAATTGCTAAAACTTCTATTTCTAGGAATTCTTTTTGCCAAATTTAGAGAACTATAAATTCAGTATAATCCCCCAAAACTGCCACTTTTTGTTATCTCTTTCTTTGTTTTAAGGGATTTTCAGTCTGATATACTGCATGGTTACTGAGTTAAAGTTTTGGTAACTAAGTACTCCTTTCTAGGTCATTGCTAAATTGATCTCTGTTTCCTACCCTTTTGGATAATGGGTAAGAAATGTGGCTCAAATTCCAAAAAAAGTAACATTTCTATGGCTATTTTGTTGTCCTGCTTTCAGAGTAGCATATGAAGAAAGCATATGGCCTAAATGATTATTGTGATGCCACCTTTATCCCTTAAGTTCTCTTTTCACAGCTTAAAAATTTTTTTCCCTAAGCCTTGAGCCATTTTTCATTTTAACATGTTGGAGGTAGCAGCCATATAAATGCATCAATCTGTCTTTAACAGTCTTTCAGAGCATATGCCAAATTCTCATTCAGGGAGTTAGTTTTTTTTTTTTTTTTTTGTGGTACGCGGGCCTCTCACTGCTGTGGCCTCTCCCGTTGTGGAGCACAGGCTCCGGACGCGCAGGCTCAGCGGCCATGGCTCACAGACCCAGCCGCTCTGCGGCATGCGGGATCTTCCCGGACCAGGGCACGAACCTGTGTCCCCTGCATCGGCAGGCAGACTCTCAACCACTGCGCCACCAGGGAAGCCCCAGGGAGTTAGTTTTAATTATTCTGATTTTATTTTTTCACGCTACTAATCCGGATTAGGACTTAGAAGATCTCTCTATAGAAATGTAACTGTCATTTCATACAAATAAAATATTTTTGAACTATTCCAGGAACTGTAATTAAAGTTTAAGTCAAACAGTACCAATTTATCATAATTTTTGCCTAAATGAATTTACAATATCTGTCATGTAATCCTCTTTTATCCTTAAAATACTAGAAAAAACAACCTGATGTACTTGCTATCAAATTTCCATAATTTTTTTTCTTGTGTACCTTTGTTCATGACATTCCTCCTTAACTGGTATATCTTTTTAACTCTACTTCACCTACCTAAATCTTTAAGGTTGTGATTGAAGCCCAGGCCGATATTTCTGAAAGCAGTTTCCATAAAACACTGCACACATGATCTGTTATTAGATATCAAGGGAAAAATGGGTTCCAAGGACAAATAAGTTTGGAAATCTCAAATGACATATTTTAAGCAGATTTGCAGTGGTATTTTTTTTAACTTGAAGATGTCTCAGAGTCTTTAGTATGCTGATATCCATTGTGACTCTTCAAGATTGCAGTCTGGTATATAGTTTCTCAAACTTCTTTGACCACAGACACCTTTTCAAAAAACATTCTGTAGGGCAAACAATCCTGTATCCTTCAGCCTTTCTTTTTATATTCCATTAAAATAAATCGCCATCCCAGTGTCCTCCCCCATTCTCCTAAGGCTTCTTGAGGGAACTTATACCCTTCATACTTTTTCGTCGCCCTCACTTTATTATCGCTCCTGCCTTATTTTGCCTCTTGTGTCTGCCGTTCTTCCTGTTTTTCTCTCCCAGTAAGAACTAGTTGCTCCTTCCTGGTAATGAAGGAGATTAAAGTGTAGCATAAGACAAGGAGCAAATTAAAATTGGACTTCTCACATGTTAAAATCCTCTAGCCATTTCCTTCTCCATGGGAGAAACCCAGCCATGTTTCTCCCTCAGGCCCATCCTGCTCCAGTATTACTGGGATACTATACTGCTCTAGGCAAAATCTTCTCTGAGCCAATAGTACTATCATTAGACGCCATTATTTAGTCCATAAGAAAAATAAATGAAGATACTTTCCAAACATTTAAAAACTGGGAATAAAGAGTTTATGGGTTTACTGTTTTGAATGGGGCAGGATATGCTGGAAGAAGTTTTCAAAAACAGTAAATAACATCCAACTTCCCTTTTAACAACAATATTTAATGTTGTCCAACTTTAATCATCTTACTTAAGCTATGCCAGTAATGTACTAAATACATGCCTTTCTGTGCCAAGGTACAGTATTTTACTAAATATTATGGAGAATCAGAAGTATCTCAAGATTTGGCCCTTACCCACAAATAATAGCAGAGAAAAGAAAAACATTTGAAAAGATAACATGTAAAGAGGTGAACAATACAAGAAATGCCCTCTGTTGATACATGTTACAAGATGAGTACTATGAACAAGCAATGTTTTTGATACACAGATAGGAGAGAGGCATAGTTTGGTCTAAGTGCTCTGCAAAATTTTCAGTATGGATTAGACTGAATCTTGAAAGTTGACTAAGATTAGTAATTATGGAAGGAAGGAGAAGACATCCTGGGCAAAGGAAAGGGTATGAGCATAGGCACCCAGAAGGCCACAGGATGTGTTTACAGGGCATAGGTTGAGAGTTCTAGAGGATATTTGGTACTTTAAAGAGGTGTCAAAATGTTATATGTAAAATACACACAAACACAGCCTAGTGAGTATGACTTTTGAAATTTTTCACACTTATACACACCGAATAACCATGTATACGGACAAGTGTGTGTACTTTTTTTTTCTAATACAAATGGGATCATCAGTGTGTTTATTGTACTTTGCAGTATATTGTGGGCATCTTTCCATGTTTCCAAATCAACAGTAGATCTTGAGAATATTCCACTGTTTGGAATATAATCACAGAGTATTCCATCAAATGGGTGAACATTTAAACTAAATTTACAAAAGACTCAGAAGTACTAAAAGGTTAATGAATATGGGTAGTAACATGCAGCTAGATAATCTAGTTTATAAGATATCTTCGATTTCTGGCTTCCTTTCCCAGCGAGCCATCTCACCTTGTTCCTCACTTGCCTCAGTGGAGAAGGAGGGGTCAGCTTTTACCTAACTCCCTGGGGAAATTTCAGGTACATCTAGATTCTTCAAAATGCTCAGGCCAGCCATCCAAGCTCGATTACCTGTCTGATAGTATCATCCATAGGTAATTGAAATCAGAATCTTTACCCACACTCATAGGAGCATGTCCTTACTTACCTATGGCTTGTACTGAACAAGCATATCAGCACAATACACTGACATCACTGACATCGGTACAGGAGATATGCTCATTCAGAGGGGAGGGAGGCAATCTTTTCATTTCCTGAGGTTAAACGATCAACCGTTAAGGTTCCATCTGGCCCTGTGATTCTGTTATTTTGTGAGTACTTGCAGGGCTGTCATGTGAGTAAAAGCTATGACTTTCTATATAGAGCTAAGGCTAGTAGCTGGAAGATATAAGACGATAAACATTTACAGTATAAAGAATTTCCCAAAAATATAGCAAGAGGTGCTCTAAGGTAGTAATTCTTAGTGATGACCAAAACACCTTTTGTGATACCCAAAAGCTCCCTCCATGGCTGATGTTGGTTGGGTAGAAGTGACTTGCAGAAAGACTCTTTTAAACTGATAGGAAGAAAGGTTACTTTAAGATGGCTTTAAATTTTTTGTGTGTGGTAAAACACACAGAACATAAAATTTACCATCTTGACCACTTCTAAGTGTACAGTTCAGTGATACTCAGTGCATTCACATTGTTGTGCAGGCATCATCACTGTCTCTCCCAGTGATTCTTTTCATCTTGTAAAACTCTATACCAATTAAACAGTAACGACCCATTCTCCTCTCCCCTCAGCCCATGGCAACCACTATTCTGCTTTCTGTCTGTGATTTTGACTACTCTAAGTACCTTGTAGATTTATATAGTATTTGTCTTATGGTGACTGGCTTATTTCACTATGCATAATGTCCTAAAGTTTCACCCATGATATAGCAATTTGCAGGATTTCCTTCCTTTTTAAGGGTGAATAATATTCCATTGTATATACTAAATTTTGCTTATTTATTCATCCTTTGATGAACACTTGGTTTGCTTCCACCTTTTAATTATTGTGAATAATGCTGCTGTAAACGTGAGTATACAGATTATTTCTTTGATACCCTGCTTTCAATTCTTTGTAGTATATATCAAGAAGTGGAATTCTTAGATCATATGGTAATTCAATTTTTAATGTTTTGAGGAACTACCATACTGTTTTCCACAGCAACTGTACCATTTTACCTTCCTACCATCAGTGCACAGGGTTCCAATTTTTCCACATCCTTGGCAACACTTATTTTCTGGGTTTTGTTTTTTTTTTTGATAGTAGCTATCCTAATGAACATGAAGTGTTATCTCATTATATTTTGATTTGCATTTCCTTAATGATTAGTGATGTTGAGCATCTTTTCATGTACTTATTGCCATTTATACATCTTCTTTATAGAAATGTCTGTTCAAGTTCTTTGCCAGTTTTTGAATTAGATTGTTTGTGTTTCTGTTGTTGAGTTTTAGGAGGTCTTTATATATCCTGGATATTCACAACTTATTTTTTTCTCCCATTCTGTTAATTGTCGTTTGACTCTGTTGATAGTGTCTTTTGATGCACATGATTTAATTTTTGTGAAGTCCATTTTGTCTATTTCTTTTGTTACCTGTACCTTTGGTGTCATACCCAAGAAATCATTGCCACATCCAATATCAGAAGCTTTGTCCTATGTTTTCTTTTAAGAGTGTTGTTGTTTTAGGTCTTATACTTTAAAGCTCTTGATCCATTTTGAGTTACCTTTTGTATATGGTGTTAGGTAAGGATCTAACTTCATCCTTTTGCATGTGGACACCCAGTTTTCCCAGCACCATTTTTTGCAGACTGTTCTTTCCTCATTGAATGATCTTGGCAACCTTGTCAAATATTTGAATGTATATGTGAGGATTTATTTCTGGACGCTTTATTCTATTCTATTGGTCTATATGTCTGTCCTTATGAAGATGGCTTTAAACTTAATTTTTCATTTCTAACTTAGTATATGACCCCTGAGGTAATGCTTCACTAGCTGATCTTGTTAACAGGCAACTGTTTTTCAGAAACAGGAAAAGGGAAAGTTGAAGAGAACAGAATCCATATTATTTGATTCTTAGTTTTTTATGGCCCTTAAATGAAAATAATCTAGACTAAAGCATATATGGGTCCTTTTATTATTTCATGTTTTGCTAGTTCTGGTAGATTTTTGGAAACTGACAAGAGAAAGAGAGACTAAAAATTGAGGCATGAAGTGGTTTGCGTGTGGTAACATAGTAATAATATGCTTAATAATAAGCATGTAATCTGACTCTTGGAGTCCTTTGGTTTCCAGTTCATTGTCCTTCCTACTGCATGTTGAGCTGCCAGTGGCTTTTTATTGAAATGCTACTATTTTAGCAGGGTTTGACTTTTTGAATTATCAGAAAAGTTTACTATAATTGTTAAGTGATGTGACTAACACTTAGTATTTCTATTTTCCACTTCTATTTCCATTTCAATTCAAAGGAATTATAGAGAATATCCTTATTTTATAGAGCAGGGGTTGGCAAACTATGGCCCACAGGCTAATCTGGCCCATAGCCTGTTTGTATATAAATACTGTAAAGTTATATTGGAAGACAGCTACTAATATCCACTTATCTATGGCTGCTTTTCTGCAACAACAGCTGGGTTGAGTCATTGTAACAGAAAAATATTTACTATTTGACCCTTTATAGAAAAATTTTGCTCACCCTTGTAATAGAAAAGTTAAGAAACAAACAACAGAAGCACTCAGGGAAATGATCGGTTAAACCACTAGTAGATTTGAGTTGAGAGTACTGGCTTTTTGAACTTTCCTTTGACCTCAAAATCTGAAATTCCAAGTTTATCTAAGTTCCAGGTAAATTAATAGTGAATATGACTTTTTTCCAAATTAAAAAAAAAGTACTTAGCAACTATTTGTTTTGTGCCAAGTATGTGTCAGGCAATGGGAAGGAGCTAGAGAAGTGAAGTTACAAATCCTGCACTAGGGAACTAACTAATGGAAATATGGGATTTTTCTCCCTCATGTTTTAAGTATGATATTTTCAAATAGTTTTTTTTTCTTTTTCTTAGAGACTGCTGTGTTACAGAAAAGGATGTGACTTTCAGAATAATCCTGAGTCAGAAGGATGAGTCCAGATGTGCCTCTGCTGAATGATTACAAACAGGACTTCTTTCTGAAGCGCTTTCCACAGACTGTTCTTGGAGGCCCTCGACTCAATTTAGGCTATTGTGCCCCTCCTTACATATATGTTAATCAGATTATCCTTTTTTTGATGCCATGGGTTTTGGGTGGAATAGGAACACTTTTGTACCAGTTAGGCATCCTGGAAGACTATTATACAGCAGCACTTTCAGGTGGACTAATGCTTTTCACTGCATTTGTCATCCAGTTCACAAGTTTATACGCCAGAAGCAGATGGGTGACAGTGGAAAGAATGCTGACCACAGATATCTTAGCAGAGGAAGATGAACATGAATTTACAAGTTGTGCTGGTGCTGAGACCATCAAATTTCTAATTCCTGGCAAAAAACATACAGCCAATACCGTTTTTCATTCTGTTCTTGCTGGCTTAGTGTGTGGTCTTGGAACATGGTATTTGCTTCCGAATAGAATAACCCTGCTGTATAGCAGTGCAGGAGGCACTGTTCTACTATTTTTCTTTGGATGGATGACACTGTGTATAGGAGAATATTCATTAATTGTAAACACAGCTACAGAGACTGCAACTTTCCAAACCCAGGATACTTATGAAATCACTCCTCTTATGAGACCTCTTTATATTTTTTTCTTTGTTTCTATAGATCTTGCACACAGGTAATAAGTTATCAAATACTTTATAACCTTATTTTTAAGCATACATAGTAAGAGCACTCTCCTTAGTATTAAAAGAAAAGAATCTATGAATTAAAAGTCACCAAACCATTGGGTGATAGGTTGTTTTGATGAATAATCTCATAGGACTAATCTTTGTTAAACATTCATCCTAAAGCAGTAATTAAATCTTGTTGAAGAGTAAAAAGAAAACCCTTTATAAGATAAGATAAATAAGCAAAATTTCAATCCTGTGTTTTACATTAAATAAGGAGCTATGAATCTGTAAGATAGCCTGGGTGAAACCTGTGAAATGAGATGGAACTTTCCTGTGAAGGGAAAATAGAGAATTTATACACATAAATGTTAATGCACAGATTGAGTGGATTTAAGATGAATAGAATAACTTATTTAATTTTGTTATAGTAATTATATAGAGTATTGATTTTTTTAAATCAATTTGCTATGGAAGAAAAATAGAAAATAGCAATTTTAAACAAAATTATTTGATGACTTCTTTTGCTTGCCTTTTCTAAATCTGACATTTCTTTCTCTGTTCCTATAGAGTGCAGCTTTCTCTATCACAGGTAGAAATGTACAGGCACCGCTTTATGGACTGAGTGTTTGTACCACCCCCATTCATATATTAAATCCTTAACCCCCAATGTGGTGATATTTGGAGATGGGGTCTTTGGGAGCTAATTAGGATAATGAGGGTGGGGCCCTGCTATGATGGGATTAGTACCCTTATAGGAAGACACACTAAAGAGCCTGATTTCTCCCTCCAACATATGAAGATGAAACGAGAAGGCAGCTGTCTTCAAGCCAGAAAGAGAGTTTTCACCATACCCTGATCATGGTGGCACTCTAATCTCAGACTTCCAGACTCCAGGTCTGTGAGAAATAAATTTCTGTTGTTTAAGTCACCCGACTATGGTATTTGATTATGAGCTGGCTAAGATTTGGATACCAAGAAGATGGGTGCTCCCATAACAAATACCTAAAAGTGTAGAAGTGGCTTTGGAATTGGGTAATGGGTAGAGGCTGGAAGAGTTTTGAAGTGTGTGCTAGAAATGTGGACATTAAAGGTAATTCTGGTGAAGTCTCAAGACAGCAGTGAGAGCATGTTATTGGAAACTGGAGGAGAGGGCGATCCTAGTTATAAAGTGGCAAAGAACTTAGCTGAATCATTTTCTAATATTTTGTGAAAGGTAGAAATTGAGAGTGATACATTTGGATATATAGCCGAGGAGATTTCTAAGCAAAGTGTTGAATGAACAGCTTGATTTCTCCTGACTGCTTATAGTAAAATATAAAAGGAGAGAGATGAATTGAAGAAGCAATTGCTAAACAAAATGGAACCAGAACTTGAAGATTTGGGAAATTTTCAGTCTATCCATATTGCAAAAAATGAGAAAGCATGTTCTGAAGGGAACAGCAGGGGTGTGGCTGGACTGTCGCTCAGTGAAGAGTTTCTGGGATTATAAGAGCAGAAACACTTCCAGTTTGAACTAAAGATGTAATGGATGAAGGCTATTAAAGTTATTAAATTTGACAGGACAGGGATATTAGAGCTATTTGATGGTGAACATGGTGCTTTTCTTAAGCACCAAATGATCCGAAAAGTGATTCAGAGATTATCAGGTTTCAACAAGCTAGAAAGCCTCTTCTGGAAGCCTTGGGGCTGGTACTACCCTGCAGAGCTCTTGGGGTGGTACCCTCACCTAGAACTTTTTGGGTGATGTTGCTGCCCTGGGGGCCTGGAGGGCAGAGTATGAAACAAAAGAGGATTATTCTACAACCTTAAAATCTAATGGAATTTGCCTTGCCAGATGTTGGACTTTTTTGGGGACCTATCACCCCTTCTTTCCTGTTTCTCCCTTTTGGAATGGGAATGTCCGTCCTTTGCCGGCCCCACCACTGTGTTTTGGAAGCACAAAGCATTTCTGGTTTCACAGGTTCACAGCTGGAGAGGATTTTGCCTCAGGATGGACTTTAGAGTTGATGCTGGAATGAGTTAAGAATTTTGTGGCTGTTGGGAAGGAATGAATGGATTTTGCATGTAAGAAGAACATGAATTTGGGAGATCAGGGTGGAATGTTACGGGCTGAATGTGTGTGTCTCTTCAAAATTTTTCTGTTGAAGCCGTAACCCCCAATGTAGTGATATTTTGAGAGGGTCTTTGGGAGGTAATTAGGTCATCAGCATGGCCCTAGTTCCTGATGGAATTGGTGCCCTTATAAGAAGAGACACCAGAGAGTTCCATCTCTCTCTCTTTCTCCACTATGTGAGAATACAGTGAGAAGTTGGCTCTCTGCAAGCCAGGAAGAGAGTTCTCATCCGAACCCAATCGTAATGGCACCCTGATCTCAGATTGTGAGAAATAAATTTCTATTGTTTGAGCCACCTAGTCTATGGTACTTTGTTATGGTAGCCCAAAAGAAGACGGCATTTAAAAATATATAGCCAGTTTGTGTACTGAAACTGACCGATTCTTAGATTTCTGCTATTCCTTAACTCTTAACCTCTTCTAATTGTGCTACATTTATGGACCAAAGAACACTATACCCTTGTAGTTCTTCACCTAATCAAATATTGTAAGAGGAGAGTTAATTTATGGAAATTCTATTGTAATTGATTTCTTAGTACCACAACCATTTACTAACTATAAAATATATTACAATTAAAAACTTGATTTTGAAAAATTAGCAATAAAATTGAGTTTAAATGTATATGTATACATTTGACCCCTTTTGAAAGATTTATTTATAACATTCTTATTTTCAGAATATAAATTATTGAGTTACTATCTCACTGTGCCATTTCTGATATCAGAAATTACCTGCTATAAAACATCTTTGCATTTAAATGATGCCCTAGGTTCTTTTAATCTTTTTAAAAATCTCAGTTAATTTATAATTTGGTTACCTTGACTACTCATTTTTCATTTCTCAGTAAAAGAGCATAAAATGTTTTTTTTTACTATATTCAAGTTGGATTTAATATACAGTTTTAATGTTTACAGTTTAATGATTATAAAAAGATTTTTTCAACTATAAAAGAGGCAGTCCTCGAACCTATTTTTAAAGAAAATATGAAGTTTATATAGAAAAATTACCTCCCATTTCAATTTTAGAAAAATTTTATCTTCTTATTAACAAAATAATAATCAAGATGTTCTTTATGCAGTAGTAGGTGTGATACTGCATATAAATACTGTATAAAATGTGTACTCTATTCGAATTTGGAGAGTTGTCAGATATGTCAAGTTGTATCTTAATATTCTTTCAGAGAATGTGAAAGTTGAAGAGACAAGCCCTACAGTGTAGTGATCTTTTCTCTTCCTGCATTCTTTAGTCTGCCTAGTACAGTTGTATATTAATAATTTTAAATGACTTTTTCTATGCATTTTTATCAAAGACAAGTGTGAAACCTTCAGTGCTTAGTTCATAGACTCTCAGGAACTGTTTGAATGAATGATGCATGTTTATATCATCTTAGCCACTACATATTAGGAACATCTTTTTCTGGGCATGTGGATCTTAGTGTACAGAATTTGAAATATTTTTATGGTTATTAGAAAAACAGTTTTTTCTTGTGGGCTTAGATTTTTTTGCTCTAGAAAATTACTGTAATGTTATCAGAAATTTTAGGATTTAAACATTTTTCTGTTATAAAAGAACCACGGTAATCATCTGTTTGATCATCCTGAGTCATACACACAGGAAAGTAATCACAATGTTTGGTTATTTCAATTATGTATTCTTATATTGTGCTATCTTTGTGTATAAACACTTTTCTGTACTATTGCTTGTTTAAGAACAAAAAGAGATTGGGGGGTAAAATAGAACTTGGATAACATATTTCCTAAGTATACATTATTTTTACACAAATTATCCTTTCCTTGAATATGTTAGCAAGAGAAGTGTTGTCTTTAAAAAAACAAAACAAAACAAAAAAACTGTACAAATCTACATGTTTTCCTTGACCTTCCTGTGGCTTATTGTGTGTGGTTTGATTTTCTTTTTTGTTACTGGAGTGTTTTCTTCTCAGAATGAAATGAATTTTTTTTTAAAACTACACTACAGAAAGTATCCTCTAATTTAGCATCACATTGTTAACCTTGTGTTCGTTAATTCTCTCTGCTTATAAAAATTTGAAGGACATACATTATGAAGCAGAGTGCATTAGCTGGCATCGTCCTGATATCTGTGTAAGGAAGCACATTATACCATTATTATAATCATAGTTGCTATGCATTTGCTTCTCGGCTATTAACATACACTTAAGTGTATAAATGTTAGTTGGCTTTCTCCTTGACTTTGATTCCTAGCAGCTCAGATATTCAAGTACAGTTATTATGCTATAAGTTTTGAGATTTAGTTTTCTCTTTTGAAAGTTGTCTTTGGAACTCCATAAGTACTACAGCGTTGTTGGCTTCCAGGCAAGGTGTTTGGCTAACCTTATTCCAAAAACTTAGTAACATATTGATAATGTTTATTCCTCTGTGCTTTAAAGTTTTTGCTAAATTATTTGAAACAATTTGATAATGTTACGTTTAACTGGTAAGTGCTGTACCAAAAACCAGTTCCTCCAGTTAAGATAGAAGCCTTTACTAATTTATGAGACTGTGTTGTACAAGTTTGTGTTCTCAAATCCATACCACTGTTTATACAAAATAGAAACAATATTATATGTTTGTTAAATTCCCAAGCTAACCCAGAGACATGTTCATAACCTAACGTTGCTGACCTCTGATTTTAAATATACTGATTTCAAATTCCAGGACCTGGGAGCAAGACAGTACAGGAGAGAGTACGAAAAAGAGAAGAGCTTACTCTCTTTGCTAGCTACTAAGATATGAACAGCAGGAAGGCTTTGGCTTTCCCAGGGTTGCTTGCAATTTTAAATTAAAAATTTTTAAACTCTATAGAATCACTGGTGGAATTGCAGCCAATGTAATTTAAAGATTTAAGGGAGAAATATTTTCGTCCTGTACTAAACTTGTATATAATTGAGTACTTGCTGGTATAGAGGAAGGACAGTGGTCACAATTTATGTTTTTGATCTTTTGCAATTTGGGATTAGGACCTTCCTGTAAATATTCTTTTGTTTCAGGGCAGAGGTGGGGTATAGAGGGAGGTGTATGTGTTTTGTTTTTCCTTTAAAGATCTTCTATTTATTGTTTTGTATGATTTAAATATTTTCTTTTTATTGTAGGTTTATGGTAAATATACCAGTTCTAGAACAAATTAATCAGATTTTACACATCTTGTTTATATTTTTACCCTTTCTGTGGGCACTCGGGACCCTACCCCCACCTGATGCACTTTTCTTATGGGCAATGGAGCAGGTTTTAGAGTTTGGCCTTGGAGGCTCATCTATGTCAACCCACCTACGGTAATTATTTTAAATATTAAAGTGATATGTAATTTATTCTCAAAGAACATTTTTTCTTTTCAAGCAGATCTTTTTTTTCCCCTCTGCAGGTTGTTAATAATGTTCATCATTTCTACTGGAACAGCTGTAACATCATATTTCATTCCCAGCACTGTTGGTGTGGTTCTTTTCATGACTGGACTTGGATTCTTACTGAGTCTTAACCTAAGTGAGATTGTTTTTGGCTTCAAACACAGTGTGACCGGACACAGAGTTGGAACCAAATCTAAGGCTTTACCCAACGGTTTGGAAAAACAGTTTGCTTGGAAGGAATACCTTTTCTACAGCATTGTATTAGTCTTGGCTCTCTTAGAAACTGGTTTGTTGCATCACTTTGCTGGTTTCTCACAGAATTCCAAAAACAGTCCCCAGGCTATTGTTGGCTATATTTTGATGATATTATTTATAATACTATGGATACTTAAAGAAATTCAAAGTGTCTATATATTTGGAATTTTCCGGAACCCTATCTATCCAAAGCATGTGCAGACTGTGACTTTATTCCTAGAGAAGCAAACAAAGCTCATGAAGATTGGTGTTGTCAGACGGATTTTGATAAATCTAGGTAGGAAGACAAATATTAATAAACTTGTGTTTTATCTAGGAAGTGTACAAAAATATTATGGAATTTCTGTATTTGTATAATGTTATACTGCATACAAGTGTTTATTCTTTTATGTTTTGGTTTATTTATTGGTTTTTTTAGCTCATTGCTTAAATGTGCTCATAAAAATACTCATAGGCCAAAATAAAATATGGTAGAAGGGGTTATTTTGCCTTCATTAAATTTGTCTCTTTTCTTGTTTGCCTTAGTGTCACCTTTTGCTATGATAGCATTTCTTTCATTGGACAGTTCCTTACAAGGACTCCACTCTGTGTCTGTCTCCATTGGATTCACAAGAGCTTTTAGAATGGTAATGCTAATATGCACTTAATAGTATTTTCCTATTCCCAAATTTAATTATGATTTTGTTTACTCTAACAGTTTACTTAGATTACCAAATTCTGCCTAATAAAGTGGTAAATTTGTGTACTGCAGGTATGGCAGAATACAGAAAATGCTTTATTGGAGACAGTCATTGTATCATCAGTGCACTTGTTGATCTCCAATACAGACATATGGTGGAACCGAAATTTGGATACAGGAATCAGACTCTTACTGGTAAATATATTTTTAACAGCTTTAATGAGATGTATTTCATATACCATAAAATCATTCACTTAAAGTGTAAAGTTCTGCGGTGTATATTCAGAACTTTGCAGCCATCACCACAATCTAATTTTAGAATATTTACAACATCCCAAAAAGAAACCTCATACACATTAATAGTCATTTCCATTCTGCTCTCCATCTCATCTACTCCCTACTCCAGCCCCAGCAACCATTAATCTACTTTCTGTCTCTAAGGATTTGCCAATTCTGGACATTTCACATGAATATGATTATACAGTATGTTGTCTTTTGCATCTGGCTTCTTTTAATGTTTTCAAGATTCATCCATGTTGTAGCATGTATCAGTATTTTATTCTTTTTTATTGCTGAAAAATATTCCATTGTATGGATATATCACATTTAGTTGATTCATTCATTAAATGATAGATATTTAGGTTGTCGCCACTTTTTGACTGTTATGACTAATGCTGCTATGAACATTCAAGTACAAGTTTTTATATGGACATGTGAGTTCGTTTCTGTCAGGTATGTTTACCTAGGACTGGAATTTCAGTTACACACGAACTTTATGTCTTAACACTTCAAGGTATTGCCAAACATTTTTCTAAAGTGATTGCACCATTTTACATTCTCACCAGCAGTGCATGAGGATTCTAATTTCTCTACATTCTCACCGACAGTTGTTGTCTGACTTTTTCATTATAGCATTGTCATGGGTCTTTTCATGATTTTGATACTGCATTTCTCTGAATATTAATGATTCATCTTTACATATGTTTATTGGCCCTATGTGTATGTTTTTGGGGAAATGTCTGTTCAACTTCTTTGCCCATTTTTACCTGGGCTACTTGACTTCTTACTGTTAAGTTTAAGAGTTCTTTATATATTCTGGATACAAGTTCCTTGACAGATATATGACAAGCAAAATTTTTCTCCCATTCTGTAGGTTGTCTTTAGCTTTCTTGATAATGTCCCTTGAAGCAAAAAAGTTTTAATTTTGATGAAATTCAATCTATCTATTTTTTTCTTTTGTTGCTTGTATTTTTGGTGTCATATCTAATAAACACTGCCTATTCAAGATCGTAAAGATTTGCTATGTTTTCTTCTAAGAGTTTTATAGTTTTACCTCTTACATTTGGGTCTATGATCTACTCGGAGTTAATTTTTGTATATGTTATGAGGTAGGATTCCAAATCCATTCTTTTGTATATGGATGTACAATGGTTTCAGCATAATTTATTGAAAAAGCTATTCTTCCCTCAATGACTTTTCTTGGCACCCTGCCAGAAATCAAACAAATGTAAGGGTTTATTTCTGGGCTCTTATTCTTTTTTCCATTCATCTATATGTCTATCCTTATGCCAGTACTACACTGTCTTGATTACAGTAGCTTTGTAGTAGGTTTTAAAATTGGGAAGTGTGAATGTTATGACTTTGTTGTTCTTTTTCAAGATTGTTTAGACTATTCTGGTACCTTTGTGTTACCATAGAAATATTGGTTTTGGCTTTTCAAGTTTTTCAAAAAGGCACCTGAGACTTTGATAGGGATTGCCTTAGATCTGTAGATAATATTTGGGGAATATTGCTGAAACCGAGCAGGACCCTGTGGGGCTCCTGGGCACAAAAACCTTTCTGTGTCCCCTTCCCTGAGTTCCAAAGGGCAGGTTCAAACAGTTGCTAATCGGGGAAGGGAGAGGATGGAGAGACAAGTGAGGAGCAGTCAAGAAACAATAGTGCAGCCTTAGGAGCAGGGTCCTGGTTCCCGCTCAAGGGATACACATAACAATAACTTTGAGCTCTTCTGCAGAACTAAAACCCCCACCAAATGGAAGGTGTTAACTACTTGAAGAAGCACTCTTCATTCCAGAGAAGGTCACAGTTTGCCCATCATCACCTGATGCCAGATAATCTTTTGATTGAAGGAATGCAGCAAGGCACCCTGATCCTTACCAGCAACCCTGCTCCCCTTGACTATAAAACTCCTCACCCCACCTCCACCACCGCCACCCCCAGGTTTGGGACACACAGTTTTGAACACATTAACCCGTTGTGGCCCCCTTTGTCTGGCAAAGCAATAAAACTATTCTACTTCACCCAAAACTCTTGTCTCCGAGATTCAATTCAGTGTCGGGATACAGAGGCTAGATTTGGCTTCGTTGCTGTCTTAGAAATGTTAATTCTTCCCATTCATCTACATGACATGTCTTCATGTTTATTCATATCTTCTTTATGTCAACATTGTTTTGTAGTTTTCAGTGTACAAGTCTTACAGTTTTATTAAATATTATTCCTAAGTATTTTATTCTTTTTGATGATATTATAAGTAGATTGTTTTCTTAATTTTTTGGGTTGTTTATTGCTCAAGTATAAACTGCAATTGATTAGTTAATGTTAATCTTATATCCTGAAACCTCACTGAAATGTTTTATTGTTTCTAATAGATTTTTAGTGGATTTCTTAGGATATTCTGTATATGAGATCATGTCATCTGCAAATTAGATATAGTAAAGATAGTTTTACTTCTTCCTTTCCATTCCTTTCCAATCTGGATGTCTTTCATTTCTTTTTCTTACCTAATTGCCCTGGCTAGAACGTCCAGTATAATGTTGAATAGAAGAGGTAAGAGTGGATATCTTAATGAGGAAAGCATTCAGTCTTTCTTCATTAAGTTGATGTCTGTCTTTTACCATTCCTGCTTCTATTCCTAGTTAAACTTTTTTATCCTGGAGGGTGTTGGATTTTGCCTCTTCTCTGTCGATTGAAATAGTCATGTGGTTTTGGTTTTTTAATCTACTAACGTGGTGTAATATATTGATTTTCAGTTGTTAAACCAATCTTGCATTCCTGTAATAAATCTCACTCAGTCTTGGTGTATAGTCTTGTCTTTATGTTGCAGGATTCAGTTGGCTAGTGTTTTGTTGAGAATTTTTGTCTGATGTATATATTTGTGGCTTTCTTTTCGTATCTTTCGTTTAGATATCAGAATAGCAGTGACCTCATAGAATGAGTTGGGAATTTCATATCAATAATCTTGAATGTTTCTAGTATTCAGTATGTATCTTAAAATATTCTGTACTATGTAGTATTTTGTAGTATGGAAGCCATCTGGGCCTCAGCTTTTCTCTTTGGGTAGCTTTTAAATTGTTAATTCAGTTTCTCTACTTGTTATAGGTATATTCAGATTTTCTATTTCTTCTTGAGTTGGTTTCAGTAATTTATGTCTTTTTCTAGGAAGTTGTCAGTTTCATCTAAGTGATCTAATTTATTGGCATATCGTTGTTCATAATATTCTCTTATAATTCTTTTTATTTTGTTCTGTAAGATTGCTGGCAATGTTATCTCTTTCCTTCCTGATTTTAGTAATTTGAGTCTTCTATGTATTTTTCTTGGTCAGTCTGGCTAAAGGTTTGTCAGTTTTGCTGATCTCAAAAAAACAGCTTTTGGTTTCATTGATTTTTCTCTATTATTTTTCTATTCTCTGTTTTATTAATTTCCACTCCAATCTTTATTATTTCCTTACCTCTGCTTACTTGAGATTTAGTTGCTCTTTGTTTTCTAGTTTCCTAAGGTGGAAGATTAGGTTATTGGTTTAAGATCTTTCTGCTCTTTCATTTGTAGCTATAAATTTCCCTCTGAGGACTGGGTTTGCCGTATCACAAGTTTTGGTGTGTGTTTCATTCATCTGAAAATGTTTTCTTGTTTATCTTGTGATTTCTTCTTTGACCTGTTGGTTATTTAGGAATTTGTCTTTTAATTTCCAGATTTCTTTCTATTGTTGATTTAATTCAGTTTTGATTGAAGAACATACTTTTCATGATTCGTATGAATACACTTAGTATGATTTCAGACTATTGAGGTTTGTCTTATGGCATGATGTCTGTTTTTTAATCTGTAAAATATTCTCTAAAATAAGGATAAATTAAGGATAGTTGCTTAACTGTTTACTACTGCTAGTTCTCATGACTTAACAAGCATGTAATGCAAAGCTTAATCAACCTTAAGATAGACATAGCACAGTGTTCTCTTTAGTACTACTTTTTTTTTAAGAGAGCTGGAACTTAAAAATGTAGTCTCATTTATTAATTGTGAGATTGGAGAAAATTATAACAAAGGATCTCATGTAAGGGCTATTTTCTCAAGTAATAAAATTATACTGTTTTTCTTATATGATCTTGAAAATTTATGAAAGGTATTTAAGAATAAAAACTTCATTTTTATGTCTCTGCAGGTTGGTATCATGCGTGATCGTCTGATTCAATTCATCTCTAAATTGCAGTTTGCTGTGACCGTACTCTTGGCGTCATGGACAGAGAAAAAACGTAGAAAATCAACCACCACTTTATGTGTACTCAACATTGTCTTCTCTCCATTTGTGTTGGTCTTCATAGTTTTTTCTGCACTACTCTCTTCTCCCTTACTGCCCCTCTTCACCCTTCCTTTGTTCTTGGTGGGGTTTCCTCGACCTGTTCAGAGTTGGCCAGGAGTTGTGGGTACCACAGCCTGTGTGTGTGCAGATACAGTGTACTACTACCAGATGGTCCCGAGTTTGAACACTGCCCTGCAGTCTGCACTGGCAGCTGGAAGTTTAGGTAAGTAAATGGGTTGTGCTTAAGAAATCCTCACAAATGTATTTAAAGTACAAAAAAATGAACACACAGAAAAACAGTCTTTTGATCCAGCTGTTATACAGATTCTAATACTTTGATGTGCAGGCAGAAAGACTAAATATGAGGAAGTATATCTCCTACTCGTTATTTTGAGGGAAATAAAGTTATAAAATAAAAATATGAAGTGAAAATTTCATTTAGGTGATTTGACAATTTTTAAAAAACATTTTCTTGACTAAAATCAAGTTATAGTCCCCCTATGAAACATGAAAACACCTTATCCCAAAATTTTCATGAATTTTAATGAGTTCATGTCAAGTAGATGTAACAGCTTAGGCCCATAAAGAGTGAAAACTAGCATTATATAAATATCAGATTGAAGAACTTAAAGGAGTCTGCTTGTATCTTATTAGTTAATGTCTAGCAACTTGTCTGACAAGGTTAGAGGGTAAGGTAACATAAAAGCTTTGGTCAGTGATCAGTAACCTCCCAAAATGAAGTGCTGTACGAATATTAGCAAGATTTTTGATGAGAATGAGCTAATATTATAATTTTGTGATAATTTTATAATTTCATCATACACTAACTGTAAATTCAGCTATATTGTACTTCTCAAGGTTGGTTTTAGATAAAGTACAAGCCGATGACAATAATGTGTTGTCTCCTACTGTATGCTTTAGCCCCTGAACTTGTTTTAGGTATGTCCAGTGACTTCCTAGCAGACTGACTCCCCTGGCAGAGAGTAGCAATTTAAAATTAGAATTTTAATGAAATGTTTATTTGGGTTGAACTTTTCTAATTATCTATTATGTGAGATAATTTAGGAAAAATTTTATTTTTGTAATACAAATTTTTTATGAATAATCATTTTCGTTATAGGAAATATTCTACACTTTTAATACTTTCATACAGTTCCAATTAATTTTTATTATATAGTGCAATGCCACTTTTTAAAATGCCTGTAACGTTAAACTCACATCTGAAATAATAAATACCTTAGTAATAAGGTAGAAATTATACGTTATTATCAAATCAATTATATTCAACCAGTAAGTGTGTTGTAAAGTATTTCCTGGGAGAAAAACAGAAAACAGTGAGGTAACATTTCACACACATCTGATTGACAAAAATATAAAAAAAGTCTGACATTAACAAGTATTGGCTAGGGAGTTGGGAACAGGAACTCTCAAACCCTGTTGAAAGGGAATGTGTAAATTCATACAGCTACCTTGAAGAGTAAACTTAATAGTCTGTAGTAAAGATTTACATATTCCATGGCCTAGGAATTCCAGTTTTAGATTCCATGATCCAGTGATTGCAATTCTAGAGAAACTCTTGGACGTGTGTCTTGAGGGTCCCCAAGACCATTCCCAAATTTGATGATTTTCTAGGGGGACACATAGGACAGCATATAGTTGTGCTCATAGCTAAGACTTAGTATAGTAAAAGGATGCAGAACAAATACAGCAAAGGAAAAGTCACATGGGGTGAGAGACTGGGTGAAAGCTTCCAGGCATCCTTTCCCAGTGGAGTTACACAAAACGTGCTTAATTCCCCAGCGCCTTGTTGTGACAGTATGTGTGATATGTTGACTACTGGGGAAGCTTATTTGAGACTCAATGCCTAAGGCTTATATTGAGGGCTGGTCATGTAGGCACCCGCTGCCTACCAAATACCAAAATTTCAGACTCCCAAAAGGAAAGCAAGTGCTCAGTATAAACTGTATTCTTTGCACAGACAGTTTAGGCACAATGCGGGACTGTTTATCAGGTAGGGTGGTGAGAGCTCTTTTGAAATACAAGTTCCTAGTTTCCAGCAAAGGGCCAACTTTGTAAGCAGGCCTTTCAACAGACAGCAGTTATTTCTGCTATGTTAACTCTTTCTACGTAATACATTGTACAAAGATAATTTATACAGCATTATTTATAATAGTGAAAAATTGGAAAACATCTGAAATGTTATCAGGGAAATGAATATTTAAATTCAGCTATATTTGTACAATGAATTCTCAGTATAGTTACAGTGAAGGAGCTTTGTAGTCGATATATAATGTCTCAGAGACAATGTTGAGAGAAAAACTAAGTTTTAAGAGTATTTGTACAGTGTGGTAGATAGCATTTTATGTAAATTTTTAACACCACAAATTTATAGGCATGTATATAAAAATGTCCAAAATGTTTTAAATCATTAATGTGAAGTTGGCTTTTATATATTTAATATATTTTCCTAATATATTTAATATGTATTTAGGGTTTTACATAACAGGTTCTAATTTGTTGTTTTTCTGGAAGATATATTCTTAATTCTTATAAATTATCACCTGTAGATTTTCTCTTCCAACTGTTCCTGTAAAGAGCTTAATTTAATGCCTCCTGATATGCAGTGGATAGTTGTTTGTATTCTTGACCTAAGAAGAGGGTAGAAAGAATTATTAATTAGTTCCAAGTGTGTTATTAATTTTAAAGATTCATGTGGCAAAATAAAACAAGCTTTAACAATTACTTACTTTTTTTTTCTAATTTGTTTTAGGTCTCCTCTTACCTGGGTCTCATTACTTGGGCCGTTTTCAGGATCGTTTAATATGGATAATGATTCTAGAATGTGGCTATACTTATTGCTGTATTAACATTAAGGTCAATGTGCATTTGAAACCTCTCTAGTACATGTGTAAAAATTTTGTTATGCACACATCAAAGAATTAACAGCTCACTTTGGAAGAGTATTTTTTTGCTTGTGAAAACACTTAGGATTGTTAAAGTGTATTTCAATATGCACATATTGATAGACTAGTGTTGACTGTATGATAGAGCATAGTAACAAAATACACTTGCCCCTTTTTTATCCAGTCTTATTCTTTTTATCCCTATCTAGTTGAGCATCTCAAAAAGGTGACTCAGTAATATTTTCTTTGCTCCTATATCATATAAGCATTCTCAACTTAATATAAAAAACTTCTTTTGACCCCACTGCCCTTACCTGCTAATACTGTTTTTCTCCTTTCAGAGCAAAATGCCTTATTAGAGTCACTTATAATCATGTCTCCAATTTCATTTCTTCCATTTTTCTCTTCAACTTACTCTAGGTTTTTGACCCTATTACCTATTACTCTAGTAAAAACCGCTGTTGTCAAGGTCTCCAGTGGCTGTGGCATTGCTAAATCCAAGGATTGATTCTCAGACCCGTTCTTGACCTGTCAGCAGAATTTGACGAGTTCATCTCTTCACTTGTTTCATGGATTAATCCTTGACAGTCTCCTTTGATGGTTCCTTCTCTTTCCTTGACCTGTTAATATCAGACTGCCCCAGTCCTTGCTGACAACTCCATCCTCTAGTGGCTCAGATCAAAAACATTTGGGCTTTAGTCCAGTGATATTTGACTCCTTGTTTACTTCTATACCGCATATCCAATCCAACAAGAAATCCTGTTGGCTCTGCCTTTAAGTCATATCCTGTATCCCACCACTTCTCACCACCCTACTTTCAGCCACCTTCATTTCTTTCCTGGATAGCTACAATCACTTCCTAATTGGTCTCTCCGCTTCTGCCTCTGGCCCCCTACAGCCTATTATCAACCAGAATGATCTTTAAAATCTAAGTCAGATCATGTCACTTCCCTACTCAAAATCCTACAGTGAATATCTTCTTTTGTTCAGAGTAAAAGCCAAGGCCCTAAAGGGTCAGGCTCCCTATTTGGTCTCATCTGCTCCTTAACCATCTCACCCTACTCCGGCATACTGGCTGTTCCCTCTGCCTGGAGCACTCTTCCTCAGACAGCCACACAGCTAACTCCATCACCACCTTTAAGGCTTTGCTCAAATGTCACCTTCCCAATGAGGTCTACTGTGGGCATCCTATTTAAAATTGAATACCCACTCCCATTCCTGCCTGCACTTCCAATCCTCCTTGCTTGCTTTACTTTTTCTCTATTTTCATAACACTTACACCTTCTAGCAAACTATGTAATTTACTTATTAATTTTCTTGTTGATTACCTGTGTTCCTCCACTCTCTAATATAAATGTTGCAAGAGCAAGGATCTCTGTTTTTATTTGGAGAATATATCCTGAGCCCCTGGAACAGAGCCTGGCACATAGTAGGCCCTTAATAAATATTTGTTGAATGAGTAGTGAATGAATGAATTTTTTTGTCTTAATGCGGATTGGATAAAATTGCTGGTGACTAAAAAGCTGTTCCTTTAGTCCAGTGGTTCTCAAAATGCAGTTCTCCAGATTAGTAATTTTAACATGTCCTGGGAACTTTTTAGAAATGGAAATTCTTAGGCCTCACCCCAGACCTACTGAATCAGAAACTCTGGGGGGGGGTGCCCAGCAGTCTGTGTTTTAACAAGCCTTCCAGTGATTCTGACTCACCTAAAGTTTGAGAACTACTGCTCTAGTCTAACATGTACAAGTAGGAGAAGGCAAAAAATCATGCAGAATATGGAGGACATTTTCATTGCTTAATTTAGTTCTATTTTTTTAATGGTACAGTTTTATAATACCTAATAATGTGGGTCCTTTTATTGATCTTTTATGCTGCATGAAATATATGATATAAAGATATACTTTTAGGTGGCAGTCTTTTTTTCTTTCTTTTTCATTTTTCCGGACACAAGCTTGCTTAGATACACCATCTACTAACATTTATATAACACTTTAAATTTGACAAGGCACTTTCATTACTTGCTTTCTCTTCACAACCCTATGTGCCAGGGTTATTTTTCTTTGAAAGAGAAGCAAAAGGAATCTTGGGGGGTAAGTGACCTACTCAAGATTGTGTACTAGCATCTGGCAGAGCCATGATTTAAAAGCAGATTCTGATATCACATTCCGTGTTCTTTCCCTGAATCATAATACAACCTAACAGCATTGCCTTTTATTAAAATCACTGGTAGTTTTGTAAAGATGTATAAATAAATAAGCAATAATTAATAATAATAGTAAACAGTGACCTGAGGTATCCTCTTCAAGTGATTCCTTCTAGCGAAGTAATCAAAATGGGTTTAAAATTTATATAAGGACATATTCATAATATTCATTCTTTCAGCATATATTTGTTGCATCCCTTATTGTGTGCCAAGTACTAGTTTAGGCACTGAGGATACAGTAGTAACCAAAATAGAGCTGCTCTGTGGAGTTTATATTGTAGTTGGAGGAGATAGATAATAATCAAATACATAAATCTGTATTATTATTACGTTATTATAATTTTTTAACTGGAACAAAGGAATAGTTAGATAAATTATGGCATATCCATATAGTAGAATACTGCTCTCATATAAAGTAGGCTGGAAAGGATACAAAGCTAATGTGCATATTGTGTAGTTCCAATTTTGCTCCCCCCTCAAATATGTATAATTTTTCAAAGTTTTTAACAAGTGTGATTCAACCTTGATGTACAGTCTTAAAATTATGGTCATACTCATTAAAATTGTTTTGCTAATTTCCAGTGGAATTTCTAAAATTTCTTTAAAAATATAGCATTATTTTTCATATCTGTATCCAACATCAAATATATTGTGTCATTAAGTTTGAATTAAGGTGTAGCTCTTGGGTTAAAGACTTTTTTTGCATTTTACATATTTTTATTTTGAGAATCCAATCCATGAGTATTTACAAAACTAGTTACTTTTCTCTTGTGTAATAAGTGATCATAAACTCAAGTATTTTCTTATTTCCTCTTTAGGGGTTAGAATTGCAAGAGACATCCTGTCATACTGCTGAAGCTCGAAGAGTTGACGAAGTTTTTGAAGGTGCCTTTGAACAAGAAGAATATGCAAGAGTATGTTCCATTAATGAACACTTTGGAAATGTCTTGACACCCTGTACTGTTTTGCCTGTGAAACTCTATTCTGATGCCAGGAATGTCCTGTCTGGCATAATTGATTCCCATGACAACTTAAAAGAATTTAAAGGTGACCTTGTTAAAGTACTTGTGTGGATACTTCTTCAGTACTGTTCCAGAAGGTCCAACATGCAGGAAAATGTTCACAAAACTGAAAATAAAGGGAAAGCATCTCTAATAATCCTTCCTCCTTTGAATACTTCACCACAAACCGAATCCCCAGAAGACACAGATAGTTTAAATTCAGAAAATTTGGATGACTGGTCTGATGATGTTTTTGGTGAAGAGCCAACTATCAAAAAAGGAAAAGAAGAAAAAGTTTTGCCAGGTATAAATTTGCCTATTCCAGGATCAGTGGAATCACAGAGGGTTGGTAAACATTCTACAGGCACAGTTACTGAAAATAGTCTTTACCAAGCAGTTGCATTGGGATACCCTGCTACTGACAAAGGGAAACAAGAAGCCGTGGCATACATCCCTCTCATGGAGTTCAGTTGTCCTCATTCTCACTTGTTAAGCTTACCTGAAGAGTGGATATCTAATTGTTTGCCTAATTCCAAAGTGAAGGAGATGAGCTCATTATTTCCAGAAGACTGGTACCACTTTGTTTTAAGGCAGTTGGAATGTTTTCATTCAGAAGAAAATGCCTCAAATGTAGTGGAAGAAATTGCAAAGGACAGAGTTTTAAAAGACTTTTATGTTCATGCAGTAATGACTTGTTATTTTAGTTTGTTTGGAGCAGACAATATGATTCCTAGTCCTGGTCATATATTGAGAGTCTACAGTGGTGTTTTCCCTTGGTCTCTTGCCTTGGATTGGCTCACAGAAAAGCCAGAACTGTTCCAACTAGCCCTAAAAGCTTTCAGGTAATTCATTTTGATTACATACAAGTTGTAACATTGGCCAAAAAATGTTGATTTTTTTATAACCTAGAAGGAGATGCTCTTTCATTTCTAATTTTAAAAAATAATCACTTTCCAAAAAATGAAAAATGCTTGGTATGTACTCTGGTTATATCGGGAGCACACTTAAATTTGTACTTTGTTTTTGTTTATGTGGAGAACCTATTTTTTGTATGGCTTACTGGATTGTTTTGCTTTAACTCTTATCATTTCTCCCAGATCTTTTTTTCTAAAATATGTATGATTTCAGTTCAGTGTCTTTAAAAATCTATTTCATCTATAAAGTTGATTTTAAAAATTCTAAAATTCTTTGTTTCTCCATTTTTTAGGTATACTCTGAAACTAATGATTGATAAAGCGAGTTTAGGTCCAATAGAAGACTTTAAAGAGCTGACCAACTGCCTTGAAGAATATGAAAGTGACTGGTACATTGGTTTGGTATCTGATGAAAAGTGGAAGGAAGCAATTTTACAAGAAAAACCATACTTGTTTTCTCTGGGGTATGATCCTAATATGGTAAGGTTAAAAATGTGTTCTTAAACATTTTCGTATATTAACCTTAAAGAATAGAAATCAGTTATAAAGTATCTAACCTAAGTGATAGAGATAACATTCTAGGTATAAATATATTAATTATAGTATTAAGGTATTTGTAATCATGACTTTATGGCCAACATAATCCAGTCCTAGAATGACTGATTATTTACTTTGGCAAAGCTAATAGGAGCCAATAAAGAATGTTGTGTAGCTATTATGCAGTAACTGAGCTATAAGATAGTCAAGTAAATGTAATTTGCTATAGCATATTTGACTAAATGGGTTGTATTTATATGGCAAATTCAAGTGTATGAATTATTACTTTGGATTTGAATCCTAGAAGAAAAATTTGTAATTTGTAAGCAAGTCTGACTTGTGAAAATTCAGAGACTCTAAATAAGGAATGCCTTTTTTAAGATTTATTACTTGTTCCTATTGCATTTAAAATGTCATTGAGTGTGCACAATATGAAAGATTCAGTGTTATGAGCTTATTGTGGGTTCCACATGTGGTGTTACTGCACATGTGCTTCCCAATGAAAATGATGAAAGTTATTTTTTAAAAACAACCATTTAAAGTCTTAGAAATGGTCCTAAGGGCATATAGCAAATAAACATTTATTAAAGAAAATCTTCTGAAACCTAAGAACAGTTAGAGACTACATCATTTGAACCAAGACCCATTGCCTCCCAGCTCAGCAAGACAGAAACTCCACTCAGACTGGTATGGCCAAGAACACAGGGCTCCCTCTCCCCTCCCAGTTGGAGGACTGTTTTCCCAGAATAGGAAGGACTTCAGCATTTCTCATCTTACTCCCACCTGCCTATTGTGAGGCTTGGTTCTGGGCATGTGTAATCAAGAGGTTGGAACTCCCTTGTGGCCACCCCTAACTTGTTGGATGGAGGCTTTACCTGGGCCTGGTGTCACTGACAATAGCGGGGCCTGATTCCTCTTGTCTATGGATGTTCCACAGTGGGAGTGGCAAGCCAAGAAGACCTGAGTTTACTGCTCCCCCTCTACCAAACACATGTCCTGAAGCATAGGTGTTACTCAGAAGTGCGTCATTATCTTACACCCCAGTTCCAGCGCTCTGGCTCAGAGATTCTGCCCACTGGGAGAAGCAGACCATTAAAAAAAAAAAAAAAGCTCTAGATCTCTTACCAAAGGAAGTGACTTCATTTGCACATAGTGTGGACACACTGAAGCTTAAGATGTTCCTCAAAAAACAGTGGAGGTGGTGGTGAAAGTTACTAGAGGCAATTGGTAAAATCATTAGAGGTCTCAGCTGAACTGCAGGCCAGGTAGATTAACAGAGAGAACCAGGGAAAGAAACAGTGGAGAAGAGCCCTCCTGGGGTCAAAACAAATCTCAAACACTGACCTCCAAAACTGTTCTTTCAAAGGAGCCCAAATTTAATTGGATCACTCTAGAGCAATTTAGGTCCCAGGTCATTGTTGAAAATGTAGAGCAACCAGCTGGGTGTGAGCATTTAATAAAGAGAACCTTGCCAAAACCACTGCCATCCCATCATAACTGTGGGCACTCACAAGGCTGCATTCCCTGAGGAGCAATATCAAAGACTTCACAATTGAACGGGAGGTAGGATTAACTTCACTAAAGTCATCCAGCCATTCACTAAGCAAATATGCAAATAATACTAACAAGCCCTGGGGTGTGGGGTAGAGAGGATCAATACCCAGAATTGCTGCAGTGTTACCTAAAATGTCCAGTTTTCAACAAAAATTAGGCGATATGAAAAAAAACAGAAAAATAACAAGAAAGTCTGACCCATGTGTAGGGTGGTGGGAGGGGGAACATGGCAGAAATGGCCTGTGAGATCAACGACATGTCAGGTTTAACAAAGATATCAAAGTAACCATTTTATATATATGTTCAAAGGACTGAAGGAAATTATGATTAAAGAACTAAACAAAGTGGGAAACGAAGTGCTTATAGAGGGAACCTACCTCAACATAATAAGGGCCATATATGAGAAGCCCACAGCTAACAACATACTCAGTGGTGAAGAACTGAAGGTATTTCCTCTAAGATCAGGAAAATGACAAGGTTGCCCACTCTCACCACTTGTATTCAACATAGTATTGGAAGTCCTAACCAGAGCACTTTAGTTAAGAAAAAGAAATAAAAGGCGTCCAAATTGGAAAGGAAGAAGTAAAACTGGTACTATTTGCAGATGATGTGATATTGTATATAGAAAACCCTGTACTCTATAATAACAAACTATCAGAAAGAGAAATTAAGACAACAGTCCATTTACAATTGCATTAAAAGAATAAAATACCTAGGAATAAATTTTTTTTGTAACTGAAAGTTTGTACCTCTTAATCTCCTGCACCTACTTCTTTCCTCTCTCCATCCCCTTCCCCTTCTCCCTCCCCTCCGGCAACCACTTGTTTGTTTCCTATGTCTGTTTCTGTTTGTTTTTTTTTAAATGTTCATTTGTTTTTTTAGATTCCAAATATAAACAAAATCATATTTGTCTTTTTCTGTCTGACTTATTGCATTTAGCATAATAGCCTCTAGGTCCATCCATGTTGTCACAAATGGCAAGATTTCATTCTTTTTTATGGCTGATTAATATTCCATTGTATATATGCCACATCTTCTTCATTCATCTATTGATGGGCACTTAAGTTGCTTCCATATCTTGGCTATTATAAATAATGATGCAATGAACATAGGGGTGCACATATTTCTTTTCTTTTCTTTTTTTAAAAATTTATTTTTTATTTTTGGCTGCATTGGTTCTTTGTTGCTGTGCATAGGCTTTCTCTAGTTGCAGGGGGCGAGGGATACTCTTTGTTGCGGTGCGTGGGCTTCTCATTGAGGGGGTTTCTCTTTGTTGCGGAGTATGGGCTCTAGGCACGCAGGCTTCAGTAGTTGTGGCACTCGGGCTCAGTAGTTGTGGCTCACGGGCTCTAGAGCACAGGCTCAGTAGTTGTGGCACACGGGCTTAGTTGCTCCGTGGCATGTGGGATCTTCCCCAGACCAGGGCTCGAACCCGTGTCCGCTGCATTGGCAGGTGGATTCTTAACCACTGCGCCACCAAGGAAGTCCTATACTTCTTTTAATTAGATAAATACCAAGGAGCAGAATTGCTGGATCATATGGTAGATCTATTTTTAATTTTTTGAGGAATCTCCTTACTGTTTTTCATGGTGGCTGCACCAATTTACATTCCCCCCAACAGTGCGTGAGGGTTCTTTTTTCTCCACATCCTCACCAACACTTGTTATTTGTTGTTTTTTTGATAATAGCCATTCTGACAGGTGTGAGGTGATATCTCATTGTGGTTTTGATTTGCCTTGCCCTGATGATCAGTGATGTTGATCATCTTTTCATGTGCCTTTAGGCCATCTATATGTCTCCTTTGGAAAAATGTCTATTCAAGTCCTCTGCCCATTTTTAAACTGGGTTGTTTCTTTTTTTGATGTTGAGTTGTATGAGTTCTTTGTATATTTTGGACATTCATGCTTTATCAGGTATATTATTTGCAAATATCTTCTGCAATTCAGTAAGTGGCCTTTTCGTTTAGTTTATAGTTTCCTTCACTGTGCAAAAGCTTTTTAGTTTGATGTAGTCCCATTTGTTTATTTTTGCTTTTGTTTCCTTTGCCTGAGGAGACATATCAAAAATATGTGTTGCAAGTCTCATGTAAAATAACTTACTGCCTGTGTTTTCTTCTAGAGGTTTTATAGTTTCAGGTCTTACATTTAAGTCTTTAATTCATTTTGAATTTGTGTATGATATGCAAGAGTACTCCAGTTTCATTCATTTGTATGTAGCTGTCCAGTTTTCCCAACGCTGTTTATTGAAGAGGCTGTCTTTTTCCCACTGTATGTTTTTGTCCCCTTTGTCATAGATGAATCACCCACATATGTGTGGGTTCATTTCTGGGCTCTCTGTTCTGTTCCATTGGTCTCTGTACTGTTTTTTTGCCAGTACCATACTTTTGATTACTGTAGCTTTGTAATATATTTTGAATTCAGAGAGTGTGATACCTGCAGCTTTGTTTCCTCTCAAGATTGTTTTGACTATTTGGGGTCTTTTGTGTTTCTATACGAATTTTAGATTATTCTAGTTATGTGGAGAATGCCATTGGTATTTTTATAGGGATTGCATTGAATCTGTAGATGACCTTGGGCAGTATGGTCATTTTAGCAATATTAATTATTCCAATCCATGAACACAGTATCTCTTTCCGTCTGTTTGTGTCATCTTCTATTTCTTTCATCAGTATCTTATAGTTTAATGAGTACAGGTCTTTTACCTCCTTAGTTAGATTTATTCCTAGGTATTTTATTCTTTTTGATGCAATTGTGAATGGGGTTGTTTTCCCAAAAGAAAGCTGGGTTAGCAATGCTTATATCAGACAAAAGAGACTTTAAAACAAGGACTGTAACAAGAGACAAAGAAGGACATTACATAATGATCAAAGGATCAATCCAACAAAACGATATAACGATTGTAAATATTATGCGCCCAACATAGAAGCACATAAATACTTAAAGCAAATATTAACAGACATAAAGGGAGAAATTAACAGTATCACAATAACAGTAGGGGACTTTAATTACCCCACTTGCATCAATGGACAGATTCTCCAGACAGAAAATCAATAGGGAAACACTGGTGTTAAATGACACATTAAACCAGATTGACTTCATAGGTGTATACAGAACATTCCATCTGAAAGCAGCAGAATACACATTCTTTTCAAGTGCACATGGAACGTTTTCCAGGATAGATCACATGCTAGACCACAAAACAAGTCACAGTAAATTTAAGAAAACTGAAATCATATCAGGCATCTTTTACAACCACAACAATATGAGACTAGAAATCAATACAAGAAAAAACCTGCAAAAACCCACAAACACCTGGAGGCTAAATAATATACTGCTAAGAAACTAATGGATCACTGAATAAATCAAATAATAAATTTAAAAAATACCTAG